CCCTTGGACCCTTGACTTTGTGACTCCCTGCTTCCTGACCCTTGGATCCCTGGCTTCTGGACTCTCTTTTTTTTTTTTTTTAAAGCAATTTATTGGGTTTTACAATAAGAATAAACATAATAAACAATATAACATTTGTCTTAACATAGTTTCACATTTTCTTTGGACTTCCTCACATCCCCCGCTCCCACTTTCATCGTTATAACATTTTGTCAGCAATTTATCATCTTATTTAAATTCTTATATCTCTTCAATGTTTCATAATCTTATAGTTCTCATAGAGAGTTAAACTTTCACAGTCTTACTTATTTTCTTAAAAACTTCTAAGTTAAGTGGTGCTCAGTTATTTAGTCTAGCATCTTATTTAGCATTCACTCAAATCACAATATTTTTGTAGATAGTTCTTAAATTTCTTCCAATCCTCCTCGATTCTCTCTTCTCCCAGGTCACGGATTCTGCCGGTCATTTCAGCCAGTTCCATGTAGTCTATCAGTTGCATCTGCCATTCTTCCAGTGTGGGTAAATCTTGAGTTTTCCAATGTTTTGCAAGAAGTATCCTTGCTGCTGTTGTTGCATACATAAAAAATGTCTGGTCCTTCTTTGCCACCCCTTGGCTGACAATACCCAGAAGGAAAGCCTCTGGTTTCTTGGTAAAGGTATATTTAAATACCTTTTTCAATTCATTATAAATCATTTCCCAGAACGCCTTCACTTTAGGGCAGGTCCACCAGAGGTGGAAGAACGTTCCCTCACACTCTTTACATTTCCAACACTTATTATCAGACAGGTGGTAAATTTTTGCAAGTTTAACTGGGGTCATATACCATCTATAAATCATTTTCATTACATTTTCTTTCAGAGCGTTACATGCAGTAAATTTCAATCCATTACTCCACAACTTTTCCCAGTCCTCAAACATAATATTATACCCAATGTCCTGTGCCCACCTTATCATAGCCGATTTAACCATTTCATCTTGTGTATTCCATTCCAACAGCAAGTTATACATCCTTGAAAGTACCTTAGTCTTTGGTTCTAACAATTCTGTTTCTAATTTCGATTTCTCCACCTGGAACCCTAGTTTCTTATCATTTTTAAAAACTTCTTTAATCTGAGCGTAATGTAACCAATCTCGCACTTTGTCTTTCATTTTCTCCAAACTCTGCAATTTCCAATTGTCTCAATCTTTTCTAGTATTTCCCAATATTTTGGCCATTTAGCCTCCATATTGGGTCTTTTTCGGGCCTTAGCTTCCAAAGGTGAAAGCCACCTTGGTGTTTTATTTTCCAGCAAGTCTTTATATTTTGTCCAGACATTAAACAATGATTTTCTGACAATATGGTTCTTGAAGGCCTTATTTGCTTTAACTTTGTCATACCATAAATATGCATGCCATCCAAAAACATTATTAAACCCTTCCAAATCCAACACATCAGTGTCTTCAAGAAGTAGCCAGTCTTTTAGCCAGCAGAACGCTGCGGCTTCATAATACAACTTTAAGTCCGGCAGGGCAAAGCCCCTCTTTGTTTTGCATCAGTTAATATCTTAAACTTGATTCTGGGCTTTTTGCCCTGCCAGACAAACTTCGAAATATCTCTCTGCCACTTCTGAAAGCACTCCGTTTTGTCCAAAACCTGAAGTGTTTGAAATAAAAACAACATCCTTGGCAATACATTCATCTTAATAGCAGCAATTCGGCCTAACAAAGAAAGTTTCAATTTTGACCAACTGTCTAAGTCTCTCTTAATTTCTGTCCAACATTTTTCATAGTTATCCTTAAATAGACTTAGATTTTTGCTGTTATGTTTACCCCTAGGTATTTTACTTTTTAACCACATTAAGTTCCGTCTCATTCTGAAACCGTTCTGACTCTGTATCAGTCAAATTTTTCCCCAAAACCTTAGTTTTCTGTTTATTTAATTTAAATCCCGCCACCCGACCAAAATCATTAATCAATTGTAATACTCTTTTCGTACTGGGCTCTGGCTTCTGCAGGGTCAAAACCAGGTCATCTGCAAAAGCTTTTAGTTTATATTGTTTCTGACCAACCTGAATTCCTTCAACCAACCGATCCCCTCTAATCATGTTCAGTAGCACTTCCAGAACCGAAATAAATAACAAAGGGGAGATAGGGCAACCTTGTCGTGTCCCTTTTTCAATTTTGAACTCTTCTGTGACCACATTATTAACTATCAGTTTAGCTTTCTGTTCTGAATATATCGCCTCAATCCCATTCTCAAAACCCCGTCCCACTCCCATCTCTTTTAAATTTCCCATCATAAATTTCCAGGAAATATTGTCAAAGGCCTTCTCCGCATCTATGAAAATTAAAACTGCTTTTGTATTTATATCTGTTTGCAGAAGTTCCAAGATGTCAATAATGTTCCTTGTGTTAGCAAACAGATGTCTACCTGGGAGAAAACCGGCCTGGTCCTTATGAATTACTTCATTTAATACTTTTTAAATCTACTTGCCAAAATATCTGCAAATATTTTGTAATCCACATTTAAAAGAGAGATGGGACGGTAGTTCTTCAGTTGTGTCTTTTCAGCTTCTGACTTTGGTATTAATGTGATGAACGCTTCCTTCCACGAATCCGGTGCCCTCTTCCCCTCCATAATTTCATTGCAGACCTCCATCAAGGGTTGTATCAAATAGTCTTTTAATGTCTTATAATACTTGGAGGTCAGCCCATCTGGCCCTGGAGATTTGCCAAGTTGCATGTTCTGAATAGCTTGTTCAATCTCCTGTCGTGTTATTTTAGAGTTCAGGATTGTCCTGTTTTCTTGTGACAATTTAGATAATCCATTTTTGCCAAAAATTGTTTAATCTCAACTTCGTCTTGCGGCCCTTGGGTGTATAATTTTTTAAAATATCTCTGGAAACACTTTCTAATATCCACTGGATTCTGAATGTTTTTCCATCAACCTCTAAGTTTGTAACCGTGTTTAATCTTTGTCTTCTCTTCAACTGCCAAGCTAGCAGTTTTCCACATTTATTCGCCGACTCAAACGTTTTTGTTTCATTAATTTAACCTTCCATTCAATTTCCTGATTTATCAATTTAGAATATTGTGTTTGATAGAGTTTAATTTCTCTCAGAGTTGGCTGTGACTTTGGATTCGCTCTTAATTTCTTCTCTAATTCTTTTAATTTGTCCAAGATCTTATCTTTTTCTCATTTTGTGTTCTTTTCTTTACTACATTCTGTTGTATCAAGAATCCCCTCATTACAGCTTTGCTTGCGTCCCAGACAATTCTTTTTCCACCGAATTGTTCATGTTTATCTCAAAATAGTCCTTCAAAACTTTTTGGGCCTTCTTGGTAATTTCCTGATCTCTAAACAAATTGTCATTCATCTTCCATCTAAAGGATCCAGTTGGTAGTAGTGTCATATCCATCTTTACTGCATTATGGTCAGAGCAGGTCTTTGGGCAGATTTCCACTTTTCTGACCTTAGGTGCCAGGCCTCTGGAAATCCATATTTGGTCGATTCTTGTCCAGGTCAGTTGGGCTTCAGAAAAGAATGTTCCTTCTCTACCTAGTGGGTTCTTTGTCCTCCAAATGTCAATCAAATCCATATTGTCAGTCATTTCAAAAAAGTTTTAGGTAGTCTGCCGTCTTTTGTAACATTTTGACTTTGTGACTTGTCCATGTTAGTTGACACGACCCCGTTCATGTCTCCCATCATTATGATGTTGTTGTAATCCAGATATTCCAGCATTGTCCCCTGCAGCTTCTTGTAAAATTCCGATTTCCCTTCATTAGGTGCATAGATTCCTAATATCAACAGTTTCTCTCCTTGATATTGTATCTCAATGGCCAAAATTCTTCCATGTTCATCTTTAAATAAGAATTTAGGTGACAGGCTCTCTTTTGCATATATCACCACGCCTCTCTTCTTAACTTTGTCCGACGAAACAAATTCCTGGCCCAATCTTTTATTTATTAACACTTTTCTGTGGAGCCTCGTCACATGTGTTTCTTGTAAACAGATAATGTCCAATTGTTCTTTTTTAATATATGAAATATTTTCTTCCTTTTTTCCGGAATGTTACAACCATTAATGTTCCAACTCAGCAATTGCAGAGACATCCTGGATCTATCTGGTTATTTCTCCAGGGGTGGTGTCTTCTCTGGATCTTCAGGTTCCCCAGGTGCTGGTGTTAATGCTGGCTTTGCCCCAGGCCCAGAAGGTAATTCAATTCCTTTTTGAAGGTCCTCTCCGTATGTAGCCAAAAATTTGTCTCTCTCTTCCAATGTTCTAACTTTGACCTTTCTCCCTTTAAAGGTAAAAGATATTCCTTGGGAAATTCCCACCTGAATGGAATTGCGTTGCTCCTTAGTAGTTTAGCAAGTTCAGAATAGGCGGCTCTAAGATCCAGCAGTTGTCTTGGAATATCTTTATAAATTTCAATTCTTCTGTCCAAAACCTCCAGTGACTTTCCGTAATGTAGGCCCAAAATCTTATCCCTTTCCTCCTTTGATCTCAATGTAATCAAACAGTCTCTGGGCCTCTCCTTCTTTGTGAATCTTCCAAGTCTGAAAGCCGACACAATTTTAAAATCCTTTTCTTCCAAATTCCAGAACTTGGAAAATTCTTTGGTCAAAAACTCAGTTAAATTTCCTTCTTCTGCCTCTTGTAATGATCTAATCCTCAAATTATTCTCACGATTTCGCAGTTCTATCATGGAAAGATAAGTCTGATGTTCCCCAACTTGTTTGGTGAGTGGTCTTACCTCTTGCTCTAAATTTTCCAATTTTTGTCTAGTATCCTCAGCCAATTTCCGATTTTCTGCTGAGGCCTCCGTTAACTGTCCAATTGCTTGTGTATTCTGTACAACTTGTATGGTTAATTTATTT